CCCTTCCAATGGAACCAATTTAACTGTTTTGGTTATATTGTGTAAAAACAATAATAATGGCCAGTATTTGTCATGTGTTTTATTGGGTTAAAAAAAAAAATCAGTCGATTGATGTATCGATAAAAGTTGCCGAAAAAAAAACAGTATCGTATCAGATCAAACATTCTACTAACGCCTCTCAATACCCTGCGGTTACATCTTTGGTTTTTTTAAACGTGATGTGCTATACTTTGGCTTGTTGATGTAATTACACTTTAATGTTGACATATTACATATTATTCATATAAATTTAACCTGTTACAGGTTAAGGAATGTTAGTCTTATGGCAACACTTCAAAGTTAACTATAGTAAAATGTAGTTTGTAGATTTGGGATTTGCAATTAATATTGTTTACTTGTATTGAGGCATTTAAGGTGGACCCTTCAGCTGATTCCTCTGGTAATGGATCCAGATGGTGAGGAATCAGGGGCTTGACCTAACCAAGCTCAGAGTTCTTATTCGTGAGTTTGTTTTAGTACAGACTCAGTCTCAGTCCCTCTTTCTCCTGGCAGGTTTAGCACACCTGCTAGAGATATAAGATCACAGAGTGGTGACAGCTGACTTGGAATGATCTTCTGTCCAAGACACTCAGGAAAAGTGATGTTATGACAAACTCCCACAGAACAGCCCTGATGTTCAGCCCCTGCTTCTACTTTCAAGAGCGAGGAGTGAAATGCAAGTCTCAAAAGGAACGAAGCCAGAACTTAAACAAAAATGCAAACAACGAAACTCATTCTCCTTACAGCTGTGTTCCTACAAGTGAGGCAAGTGCTAATAAAAGTTTTAAAAAATAAGAAAAATAGTCAGATGGTGATGCAGCTGCAGCGTCTCCTCTTCCGTCACTGTAACGTGGCACTGCCTGCACGAGCCACAAGCAACACACATGCTGCACACAAAGCCTCCAGCCTCACATGAGAACATTGTTTGAGTGCACGTGTGATGGTCAAAAAGACAGAACAAAGTTCAGCTGAGGAAATGCTATCGAGACCAGAGTGTGAAGCCAAAACCAGAGGTATCACTTTTTTTGTAACTTCTCTGGTGTCAAGAGTGATTTAATCAGAAAAAGCTGCAGCCACTTCTAGAACCAATCAATCAATGTCCTGACCCCACCCTCACCCACATCCACCTCCTCTCCACCTCTTAAGACCTCTGAAATCTAAAACATCTGCTGACTTCTTGCCTCAGGAAACACTGGCAGATTTTAATAAGGATCTATAGTTGGCTTGTGTTTTAAAGCCTGAACAAATGGCTTTAAAAATTCAACAGCAGTTTTTTATTTTTTATTTTCACCTGCCAATGCAGGGGAGAAGAAGGTCACAGGTTAAGGTTTTAAGAATGTTGGAAGCTCTGGTTTTAAAAACACAGATTTTAAAAAGTGAGGATGACCTGGGTTTTGTTTTTTCATTTCTTTTAGCTTTAATTAGAAGAGAACATGTCAATATAGATTTCCAGTGGCTGACTTTGACCTGTTTTCTCTTTCTAATATATATATTTTTTACTAATTCTGTCTCACATGCATTTAGTTTTGGTTTCTTTTAACCAACCTGTAGTACAACACATTTGATTGTCTCACATCAAAACAGACACCTCTTGCATTGTTTGACATAAGATGCACAAGACGACACAGATCGTATTTATTTACCCGGTGAATTCAAGTATAAGTTATTAACTATATTTGAAGTAACAGAAAAGGAGTAGTTAGCTTATTGATGTCTGTCATTTTGTAATTTATCCCTTTCCCCTTAAAAAAAGTTTGTCCACTCCTGAATAATGCAAAACATACATTATTGTAAAAAAGATTCACATGACTTTTGTTTGTCCTTAAAACACACTCATGAAAAACCAAACTACAGTTAGCTGTTGATGAGCTAAAACAGTTGAAGTCAGAGGGTCTGCAGAAAACCCACAGCACACAGACAATAACAGCACAAGTAAACATCTACACACAGAGAGAGAGAGAGAGAGAGTGTGTGTCCAAGTCAAACACACAGCAGAAGGCAACTTTTCCTGCGGCTCATGAACTTACTTTGTGTTGCAGCAGCAGCAGCAGCAGCTTCTCCTCAGTCAGGACGTTCCCCACTCAGCTGTCCCCACTACAGCAACTCTGGACGAGGGTAGTCCAGGCTCCGCCCTGATGACGTCCACCAGCAGCATTAGATCATGAGATCAGAGAAGTGAGCAGCAGGAAACAGGGTCCAAGCTGAAGCTAGGGCTTCAGAGTAGAGGAGCTAAGGAGGTGAAGACAAAAATCATCTGGGACGTTAAACACCCAACAGTGGGTCATGAACCAATACAGGAAAACAGTGTGGGGATTATGGAATTATGAAAAAAAGGAAGGGGGAAGAAAAAAGCTAAAGGATGGAAAGTAGGAAAGAAAGAAGAAAAGACAATGGAAAACAAATGAAAAGAGAATAGGGTGAACAAGAAGGAAGAGTAAGAGGAGAGAGAACAGGGAGAGGGAGTTTGAAGAAAAAGAATATGGGGAAGCAGGAGGAGGGGGAGTTGGAAGTATGAAGAGAGATTGGAAAACTGATTTGAGAGTGGGAGAAAGAGAGGGAGGAAGGTGAGAGAAGAGAACATAAGACTGTAGCCTATTTGAAGTGAAAAGAGACAAATATTTGTGTCACTTCAAATAAATCAGGGGTGTCCAGACTTTTTCGACTTGGGAGCTACTTTTCAAATGACCGGGGTAAAGTGATCTGCCTACATTGAAAACTATAAATGTATATTCACTACTTTGATTAAATTGCTGTAGTTATATGGCACAATACCATCTGACTTTAGCTCTAGTGATTAGCATCTTAAAATTAAAAGTATTAAATCTTTTTCATTTTTCTTTTTTTTTTGTTTTTGTTTTTTGTTGTTGTTGTTTCATTAAATGTAATTCCTCAGGATCTACCAGCAGTCCCTTTGAAATCTACTGGTAGATCCCAATCTACCTTTTGGGCACCCATAAAATAAATCAATCAAATAAATTCTGCTTAAACTTCTCCGCCCTCATGAAAGTCTGGACTGGATTTTGCCGTCCCCCAGTGTCCAAAAAAACAACTTTTCTGAATACATTGCAGGACAATTTCACCATATGTAACATGTTTGACCTTACAGCCCTCAATTTAAAATGTATTTTTACAATAGTAAATGCTCTGTGGGTCTTCCCCCCGCAGTCAACCAGAACATTCAGTGTTCCAAAACCCTATGTGCTTTTTTATTTTATTTTAATGTCCTCACCTTCTTTCCATCTTCTATTTCTAAAACCACATTTAAATACATCTTAAAATTATTACTCTAGATTGTGTTTTCCAAACTTTTGAGCCATGGCACAAATTTTACCTTAGAAGATTCCCACAGCAACACTAAACAAAATTGTCACAAAAAGTAGATGTTATGAAATATATTGATCTTCTACTTTCAGTTTATTCTGTTTAAAGCCTGGGCCTGTCACGTTTCACACAACCCTGATATACTGGCAGGAATTGAAGAAATATACAAAGATCTTTAACAGTGCCAAGCCTCTTTTTTGGTTTTTATAATCTTCTGCTGCCACCTAGTGGGAGGGAAACTTATTTGTTCTGCTTTTTACTGTCACAGACAAACGAAGACATTATTTGCAGTAAGTAATAGTTTTCAGAACAGAAGAAATACAGGAAGTGAAATTTGATTATTTTCCGAAGTACACCTGATGACATCACATATTAAAGTGCCACACCACTGAGGTTGGGGATCACTGGTTTAACTGACCAATTGAAATAGCTGGAAAAATGTTTTTGGTGGAATATTTTTGTATGGTTATAGGCAGTTTTTTAAAAATGCAAAATAAAGGTAGAAGGATGGAAAGTAGGAAAGAAAGAAGAAAGGAAAATGGAAAACAAATGAAAAGAGAATAGGGTGAACAAGAAGGAAGAGTAAGAGGAGAGAGAACAGGGAGAGGGAGTTTGAAGAAAAAGAATATGGGGAAGCAGGAGGAGGGGGAGTTGGAAGTATGAAGAGAGATTGGAAAACTGATTTGAGAGTGGGAGAAAGAGAGGGAGGAAGGTGAGAGAAGAGAACATAAGACTGTAGCCTATTTGAAGTGAAAAGAGACAAATATTCGTGTCACTTATTAACACATTTCATACAGAAGGAACCTTGATGCTCTTCACACTAAAGACCATGAATTGCATTAGAAAGAGTAAATACAATAAATACATACAAATTTCTATTCCATATTAAATATATTTCAAAAATCCATAGATTTTTATCTATTTACAAATATGTTGGATATCAAATAAATCAGGGGTGTCCAGACTTTTTTGACTTGGGAGCTACTTTTCAAATGACCGGAGTAAAGTGATCTGCCTACATTGAAAACTATAAATATATATATTCTACTTTGATTAAATGGCTGTAGTTGTATGGCACAATACCATCTGACTCAATACTATGGTCCTTACTTTAGCCCTAGTGATTTTTAAAAAGGCAAAAAAAAAAGTAGAATACAAAATTCTCAAATTCAAGACTCACCTTGTCTATCCTCTTTATCCATTACTTGGCTTTCCCAAGAAAATATTTTAACATAAAGATTCATAGTAAGAAAACAAAACAACATTTTTATTTATCTTTTTTTTTAATGAATTTTAGACAAGTGTCAAAGAGAAAAGGTCAAGAAAGCTAACTCAGGAAGAGGAAGACTGAGAATACAGAAGCAATATTAATAAGGATAAATTGTCAGCATTCTCATGACTTACTGACTCATCACCAAAGAAAAATAATTTCATGAAACATGTTATTTTAATCTCTAATAATAATTTAACACATAAATATCCAAAGACATGAATGATTCTTCTTCCAAAAACAGTGATAATTAAACAGTCGCCTCTGAGTGACACTTTCTTCATTAATTTTCTTCTTGGAACAATGGCTGAAGAAGAGAAAGACAAGGTTCAAAGAAAACACATCGCTTTACCTTCTTATTTTATATATATTTATGTTTAATATTATTAACTCACTGTGTAAGCTGTATCTTCAGGCCTGGAGTCTGGATGTTGCCATTGTTGGTTGGACAAAATCTTCAGGACAACCATACTAAAAGCTATGATAAGAACCCCTAATGAATTTGCAAACAGCGCCTCAGGTGGTAGCTGTGAGTATGGCTGAGATCCAGTGGTGTTTCCTTTACTGTGAATATAATTTAAACCAGAAATAAATGTTGTTTGTTACATTTTGTAAAATATTTGATCATCAGTGAACAAATGCACTTACAGAGAAAAGAAGAGTTTTTCGTTGATTCCTGAGATGCAGGCAGCAGTGCTGAGCAATAAGATGCTGCCACCCAACCAGACGTGGACTGGTTTGAGGAGTTTACGGAGTGACATTGGGGAGCAGGGCAAGAGAAAACCAGCCATACCCACCGCCCACTGATTGACCAATCGAACAAATGGGTAAAACACACAGTTTAATTTTTTTTACCCACAATAAAGCAATAAGCCTGGTATCTGTGATTCTCTTTGTATTTACCTGTGTGGCAAACAGTGCCGTGGCAGCAATTCCAACCCAGCTGTGTAAGGAGTAAAGTGGAGGAATTCCTTTGGCATTGTGGACATAAAACACAGCCTGGAGGCCAATGATTGACAGGATAAGAGCGAGCAGCATCAGTGCAGCGTGAAGCAGCTTCCAGGGAAGTTTATTCTGACGCCAGGTCAGAGGGATACGGTACACCACGGCACCTGCAGGGGGAGACACATCGTGGGTAGAAAGATTAGATTATCCTATGCAAATATACCTCTACCACATCCTCAATAATTGGAAATCAGACAAGATAAGACATAATGGTTCATAATGTTATATAACACTGTATCAACAGGTTTGTGTGTCACAAGTTTGTCAAAATGTTAATTTGAAAACATTAAATTTAGTAAAACAGATAATCAATAAAAACTGAGCAACAAAGACAGTAGAAAGATTAAATGGGATTTAAGTCTAGCAAATATTGTAAATAGTGTAAATATTTATATTAGTATTTATATATTTATTTATTTATATAGTCGTCAACTTACTCTTAAACAAATAAATTAATGGCAATGAAAGGAAGTAAACTGGATACTTGATACAAAACTTGAGTGCACTTTTCTTCCCATGTTTGACTAAACATTAACATGGTTTCATGTCAATCACCAGTGACCTTTGATTACAGCTTTATGATATGCACAATTTCATGAACACAAAAAAGGTCACGTAAATAACACATGCTGGTACTGGAATCATGTCTCATTTCTTTGTGTGCTTAAACCTGCACTGGTTATTCCTCTGCTTACACACTGCAGAAGGTAAACAAGTCATCCTGGCCAAACCAGTACAACAGAAGAAGAAACAAAAGCCTATCTATCTGTCTGTCTATCTATCTGTCTATCTAGCTAGCTAGCTAGCTCTGTCTATCTATCTGTCTGTCTGTCAAAGGTCAAAAAGGTCATTGTAGTATTTTTCTGATTTGTGTTTATCAGCATATCACCAGAAACAGCAGATAAATCCTTTAAATATGGAAAAGGATGATTTAGAAGTTATCAGTGTTACTTAATCGAAAACATTAACCATCAACTTACCATTTAAAATAACTGAACTCAAAAATAGAATTCGCTAAAACTAGCTATACAGTATACACTTCCAGGATAATTACACTGTACGTTATTTTTAGCTAAAGGTTAAGAATGGTCACATTATATTAAATTGGTTAAAAGCTCAAGAATAGAGAAAATATTAGTTAAATATAAATAAAAGCAGCTGTGTTTACTAGCTTAAAATTTATCAGGTTGCTTTAACGTGAGGCAAAGCCAAAACCTTTGAACTAAATTTCTGTAAGTTGTGAACTTTGTTGTTTAGTTATTTTGTATGACCCAATAAAACTGTCTAAACCAAAAGGTGTGGTTCTATCAGTCTGCAGACATGATATCACATGACATGTGACATGATCAAATTACACACTGGCTACCAGTGTGTAATTAATTACCTTACACTCTGTCACTCTGTTTGTGGGAGGATAATAACAGAAGAGAGAAAAAGAAACGAAACTCCTGTCCTCCTTCAATCTTAACTGTCACTCACCAATGCCGTACACCACCACCAGACCTGACACCATCAGCACCGGATGCCAGTTGAACTGCAGTTCTGATCCGTCCCAAGCGAAGCCGCCATTCCATCGATTGAACCACAAACACACGCAGAAGACACAGGCCAGACCAAGGCAGAGACAAAGCAGGAAGCAGATGTAGAAGACGGGGCACCTCATTTTGGAACTTTCTGTCACCTGAATAAATCCGATGCAAAAATTTAAAAAAGAAAGAAAAGAATACAAGCCCAGCAGAGGATATAGTTTTATTAGTAAGCCGAGCCATTCCCCTTCTTATTAGGTGTCAAAAAAAGTATGTGTTTTATATTATTTTTTTAAAGAGGTGTGCAGTAATTCTAGAATAAGTGTAATCATGATTAGAGTTGACCAGTTTCACTACACTGGAGAAAATGCAGCTCCAACTCATTACACATTGCGTTGAGGAGCCTTGTTTTTTTATCCTCTACTTGTTCAGATTATTCAGTCTTTTACATCAGTCTAAACACAATTACTTTTTACCATGTGTCTCTTTGAGCTACACCTGGTGGACAGGAAACCAGATTTGAACCTTAAATTTTTCATATAAACCACTATCATAATTATAATAAATTATTTAAGAGATGTAAAAAAAATACATACAACCTGAAAGTGAATACTTGCTACAGCATGTATTTCTCAAGAAAGAGAGTTTTTAGCTACTTTTAGAAATAAAGGTTAATTTAAAATGAAATAATAAAAGTTTGATACAAAGGTGCTGTCAGAAGGGGAAATACTTCAAATAAAACCACAAACAACCTTGATAACACTGCAATTTGTCATCATATAATAATCTGACAAAATCATATAACCCCAATTAGCCCACATTATAACAACTCAGTCATACGAGCAGATAAAATTGGCAATAAAATGATCTTCACTCATTATTAATGACAGACTATTGTTTGATTCACTAAGTATTTTCAAAATACCTTAAATTAGATCTTTCAAACACAGTGGTTAAACTGTGGTTAAAAACAAAACTGGATTTTTAATCCTCCTCATGTCTGATTGAACGAGTGTATATAATTATGAGTTTGAATAAACACAAGTTACCTGGAAAAGTAAAATGTAACTAGACTTTTAAACTAAACTTTACCACTGATATATTTGTAAGATCACCGTTTCATACATCTTACCTTGGTCACGACAGCTGCCAATATGAGCTATGATCACTTCCTCAAAACTAACTCAAAACTGTGTGTGTTCCACTGTTTATGCCTGAAAAAAGAAGCTACAAAGACACTCACCTTGTGTTTTACTTTCACTTCATGATTTTCTGCTTCAGCTAAAATCTCACTTCCACATTGGTCAGTGTTAGTGGTAAAGTGTTTGAGTGGGAGGCGTTCTTTCGTAGTGGAGAGTCTCCCTTTCTGCATCAGTTGACTGGAAACAATGTATTCAGATTTTATTAACTATTCAATCAATCGATCAAACCTTTTATTTTTTAAGTACAACCCTGGTTCATGACACGTCTTACTGACCCGTAAATACCTTTGCACTTTTACGCCATAATACTGCAGGGATACTTATATTTAACTATAATTATATGTAATGGCAATAACGACTCCGGTTAGCAAGCACTTTAATGTGAAACCACGGTATCTTTCTTCTGACACGTAAAATGTTTTTCAAATAAAGTGGTGGTTTGTGGTTCTTTCTCCGCTGAATTGTTTTTGAAAGACACACAAAGTGACAAACAACCCAAACCAAACTCCAGCTTCAACACATTATTATTATTATTAAATCTGTACAAAAAAACGTGTCATTATAAAATAACATTAATACAAGTTCATACTAACTAGCATGTGCTATCGCTGCAAGTTGTTCCAGGCATAGAAAACATGAGTCGAATTTAAATTTAAACAAATAACCTGCGCTTCAAAATGCAAATATACGTTATTAAATACTCAAGACTAGCGTGTTTTTGTATATAAAAAAACTTGTTACATGTAGACGACAAAAATCGTATGTAAGTTGTAGAAAAACATTTAAAAACATTTCAGCAGAAGACAGCACTGCCCTCAACTCACCTTAATTTTACTTCCTTATTGACGAATTGAAAAGCATTCTGGGAAGTGTAGTTATCTAGGCTTAACTACACCGAAAATAATGGATAAAAAAATGTATTGCGATTGAATTTATTTATATCAATTTTTATATACTTTGTTACTAAATCTATTTAGTTAATTTTAAACCTTTCATGCCTTTATTTTATTACATCAAACAGGTATGCCAATTTTTTAGAAAAGTATCATATATCATTAATACATATATTTCATTTTAGACTCAAAATTTTAAGTTTACTGTCTCCTCAGCACATGTCTAAAACATCTCAATCTTCTCTGTCAAACTTAGTCGTCAAACTTTTTAACCTCAGCTGTCTTGGTTATTTCCACTGATAAGTCAATGCCTGTTCACCTGCCACCTACAGATCAGCGTCCTCACTTCATCTGTTTCAACTGTCTAACTGCTTCACATCAGAGCAGCATTCATGTTTATTTTGGAAAAGACTCAGATAAAACCGCTTTAACACTTGTACTTCATTTTATTTTCTTTCAAGTGATACATCTACACAAAATATGTCATGGCCTCGCATGACAAATACGACAGTTGTTTTATTTTCTTCATATCCCTCATTAACATTTATTTCAACATTGTGAACAAGTTATCTTGCAATCTGCAGGATATGTGCAGGACCTAACAGGAGGTCAGGATACTGAAAGGCTCAGCAGATGAAGCCGTTTAAGTACATTTAAAACAGATGAACAGTCCATCGATATATAACTAACGACCAATGAACAAATCAATTTTATTAAAAAGGTTCTTAAGACAATATCAATATCTTGTGATGTGATTCTGTGTTTTTTGGTTTCAACATCAACATTCACATACATTTATATTTATATTTCTGCACACACGCACGTGTTGGCATGTGTGGCCAGGGTGACATGGCACATGACACAAAAGTCTCATAAAGGGCAAAGAAAGAAAAAGAAGAAGAAAAAACATCACAAGAGCGAATGTTAAAGCTTATTTTTCATATTTGACAACATAGTTACAGTCAGGTGTGCCGACACACCAGGTGAACAGCTCACATGACAGAGGAGAGTGGGAGAGAGAGAGAGGGGGGGGTGCGGGGGGGGGGGGGGGGGGGGGGGTTCAGACCAGAGGTGAGTCCTAACACTGGAGAACAATATTCCAATCAATACTGAGCCAATTAATAGTTGTTTTTTCTGTTTCTTTGAATGTATTTCAATTACTTTATTTAAATTGCTTTTCTTATTCTTTTTTTCCTTACATTTAACCCATGAGACTGGTCAAGTGATTTTAAGCCAGATACACATTAATGTTAAAATCCTGGTGAATCCTTAATCCAAAAAAGATTACGTGGTTAACTGACACATTTTTGGGGTCTTTTCACAGGATTAATTTGGTGTGACCATAAAAATCAACAAATACACCTCTCTAATAATACAATGGGTTTCCCCTTAAGTAGCAATGAACACCAGTCTATTGTCATGAGGACAGTGTGTCCAGCTGTCCCTGTTCCTTTTAAGTATTAATTATTGTTTGTACAGTCCAAGTGTAAGACAGTACAGAAAACCACTCCTATATTGTCGCTGTGCTCTTATAAGGTCAACTGCAGAAAAGACACAAGTGCTTCCAGTGATGTGGGTGGTTTAGTCAAGTCCTGTTACAGTGTGTTGATAGGATAAGACACAGCTGAACCCCATTGTTCCATTATTGTTTTTGAGGTGCTGAGAGAGAACATTTATGCTGTCATTAGGTGAGTATACATCCTACTACTAACAACAGCAGCAGCAGCAGCAGCGGCGGCGCTGAACTATGATTGCACACAAAAGCAGGTGTCCTTCACTTCAAACCATTGACCATCAATGACGAATGATTAAGGAAATACTATTCCAAGTGTAAAGCAGCTGGACATGGATCAGGCAAAACCACAATCAAACCGAAAAGAGACTCTAAAACCAAGAGTTTGTGTGGAGAATGTATTAAATTAGTCTTCTGGTAAATAATAATAATTTAAAAAACCCTTTCCAATTTTTTCCTTTGGATTTTTTTTTCCAAACTCTTCTCAACTGAAGGAGGTTCCAATTTGGCTAATATCTACCAGATGGCGCTAGATGAGGTTTAGGTTGAACTTCAATATTGTTCAGCAACAAATGTTAGGAGTAGCTTGAATCTCTTTTTTAAACTCCTACCAAAGAACCATTTCAGCCTTAAATTTGCAGCAAAAGTTATAAAATGTTCCCCATAATTACGTAACAATAAGAAAATGTGGTTTCTCTTTTGCCACAGGCTTGTAAAACCGAAGAGCCAGAAGATCCAGGAGGAAGTTTTGGGTCTTTTTCCCATAAAGAAGATTGAAAAAGGTGTGACTGTTCAAACCAGAGTCATCCCCTGTGAATCCAAACCTCCAAATGTGTGTCATATGTGTGTTGATGTAGAATGAACTGTACAATGTTTAGTGCAACACCTCATCATTCATGGATGGTGGTTCAATCACATTCAGTTAAATTAATCCTAAAAATCTACAAGAAGACACTAATTTTATTTATAGTGTAATGTGTAGTGTTTCTGGTTATTTTTTTTTTTTTAAACTGAAATAATTTTGTTTTGTTATGTTGTATTTAGACGCAACATGTGCGACAAACCTGCAACAATCAACAATCCTAATGGAGGCTTAAGACTTCACGGTTCTTTATGTTAAATATATGCTTCACTTTAATTTTGTCTTTGTTCTCACACAATTCACATCCCACGTTTTCTCTATCCTCCAACACACACACACACACGCACACACACACACATATATATTTATAACTGACAAACGCATAACCAAAAACACTGCTTAAAGCTCTCCACATGAACCCAGATCAGACTGGATTTGAGTTTTTATACTTGAGTTTGTTGCTTCGTTGACAAATAGAAATGTTTTTTGTTTTTTTAAATAAAAAAACCTAAGTGTAAAGTGACTAAAACACCTGCAAAAACTGGGTTCATCTCTACGTATCAACTTAAAACGTATAAAATGTAACCTACACATTTAAACAACTGCAAAATCTTCATTTAAGGACTGTTTCTAGAGATCACAATATTGCTATTAAAAATGTAACATTTCATAAATAAGTTTAAATCCCTCCGCCCTAAAATAACATTTCATATGTTTAATATATTTAGGAGCAACTGCGTTCTTCTAAGCCTTTTCTGATTTTTGTGTTGGTGCATCTGCTTCAATTTGGTGACCAACTGTGGGCGGCAGCTCCAGTAGATTCAGACAGAAAGGAAAAAAAGAGGGGGGTAGACGGAGAGATAGACAGAGAAAAAATAGAGAGAGGGTGAGAGATAAAGTGGTTTAAAGGATGAGTCAGGACGTGTGGGCTACGTGATTATAGTAGGGTGTGGCATTTCTTATCCAGCCCCATTCTTTTTGGTGGAGATAGTGTTAATGTTGGTGCCACCCGGCAGTTGGCCATCTTTGCGTGGTGGCATCCTCTCGTTTATCCTGTCCAGCCCCCGCGCCTCCTCAAAGTTACGGATCTTCCTCGTGGGAGAGAAGCCTTGAATGGCTGCAGGACAAAAGAACAGAAGAAACACTGCTGTCATTTCTCTTTCCATTATACTCCACCAACCTGCTGTGTGTCGTTTATTATTGGTTCCCAAAAAAAAAATCCATAAATGTTTTTGTTTGTCAAGGTTCACAGCAGAAATAAAGACCCCGTAGTGTTTGCTGATTAAAAAGTACAGGGGGTCCTTGACTTACATTGGAGTTCCGTTCCTACGCTGCGACGTAACTCTACTTTCATGAGTCGCAACTCACTCTACATAAGTAGCTTTGTCACTCACCTACACTAACACAGTGGTAACATCATCTAGGCCATAAATACATCAGGAGAGTCTGACTTATACTTGGTTGGCATAATGAAGGGCAAAAAGTCAACCCTCTCACAAAAACACAAACAAGAAAGCACAATATAATGTATCATGTGCAAATATAAAGAAAGCCATTTTCCGCATATAGCACGGTGTGACGGCATGTTTGTGACGGCGAACTAGTTTGTGTGCAGACAAGTTGTAGAGTAAATTTATGAGAGATGGTAACTTTACAAAAAAACCTTATACGTTGAGGATGTCATAAACCTAGAACCCCCTGTACAGTATAAAACAGAGCCCCAGTTCAATTATTTACAGCCCATTATCAGCACTATCGCTGTTCAAACTCTGTGACATCCATTCTGCCCAGACCAGATGTTTTTCTCCATTTTTTGACTGTAATATTAAACAGTCCTCATCTACTCACGTTGACTATACAAGCATTTAGTGAAAAACAAGACATGCACAGAGAAAAAACAAAAACAAAACAATGACTCCTAGTCTTAGTCAAAAACTACCACAGTTTACACCTCACACTGGGTGAACTTACGGTTGCATCCGGACAGTCAAGGAAAACCAGACACAGGTGTGCAAATAAAAAGCAAACTTGTAAGACTTTTCAGATATACTCAACAGAAAGACTTGTGTGTGAAACTGTAACTGTAAAGACAGGTGACCATAAACAGGATGAACTGACACATAATTTAAATAATTAGCCTTTTGGTAATTTTTTAAAAATGTAAGTAAAATGACATAGTGTAATTTTTTTTTTTTGATGAAACAAGCAAATTTCATGTGGTATTTAATCCAAATAGGAAATTATTTTCTCAGGTTAATTAGTAAGTCGTTTTTTTTTTTTGTTTTTTTTTAACAAAACATGTTATAATAATGTTGTTTCTCATTGACAGACCTAAAAAAACTGTGAATAGGAAATATATGAAGTTTTAAAATAAATTAGCCAATTAATAAATGAAGTACTAATACTGGTGCTTAACACAATACTGGAAAAATCTCCAAATGTTTAGTGTGGGCTTCAACATTATACTGCTCCTGAAGTGCTATTTGGTTTGCATTACAGTTGCTGTTCAGGTACAATAGTATGTCATATTTATATACATATAAACTAAAAGCATATACGATGAAATATGAAATACGA